GTTTTGATAATGTAGGACTTCCAATAGTTAATGATTTGATAATAGGGCATAAAATAATATATATCAACCGACAAGACTTTCATGAGCAACACATTTGAGAGATTACTCTATATAATTGTCATTGAGAAATGTATTATTGACATTTGGTTGATAAAAAAATAATTGTTGAAGAATTACCTTGTAAACTAACCAAAACCATATTTTTTATAGGAGACAAAATATATATGGACAGATAAATAAAATACAGTCTAAAAGAAAAAACAATAGAAGAAGTCACGGACTAACAAGAGAGAGAAAAACCCTAAAATTTTAAGATTCTTCAATCAATACACCTGACACAAATCCTGACATAAGAGAAAGAGACAGTTATACAAATTTAATGATCTTATCAAAAGTACAAATAAAAAGTAATACAGACTAATTAAAATTAAATATAGATAAAATATTGATATATATATATATATATATATATATATATATATATAATTTTAAAAATCTAAAATTATTTTGAATTGTTAGAGGAAACTCAATGCCACTAAAACCTATGTCACTTGTGTGTAACGAGCTAATTTATTTTAATATTAAAGTCATTTATAATAATTATTAAAAACGTAAGTTGTTTTCAACATTGAAGAATGAGTGAAGTAAAAAATTTATAAATAAAAGTATTAAATTATTCAAACTTTATTTTGTAAAATTTATCATCTTTCTTGAAATATTTTCTCTTTACTTATTTATTTATTTTTTAAAGTTTACCTAAATTAAAAAGAAAATCATTTTAGAATATATAAATAAATACAAATCTAATCTTGTAAATGTTTATAAATTAATTAAGTAATTTCTTTAATATTTTTTTATAAATTTCTAAAGGATATGTTCGTAAATCAAACATACTTTTTCAGAATCACGATAAATTGAGTTTTGGATTTATAGTATACACAGGTGCTACTGTAGGTGTAAAGTTAGCTTTTTACTTGGCTTGTGAACTATCTTGTTAATGCGCCAAAATTTCTCTGTTCAGTTTGATGTTTTCAATGTGTTAGCCTGTTTTTCTTGTCCTGCCCATACTCTTTAAATTTACTCGTAAAAAATTAGGTTAAGATGGATTAACCCTTTACCTTCTTTTTATTGAAAAGTAAAAATATTAAATAATTAATGTTTGTTAAATTATATTATCTGGATATGCAAACACGACAATATTATTGTAGAATTGACACTTATAAATTAAATTTTAATCTTAATTATAATAGTTGTAAAGGTAATAATTATTCTCTCTCTCAAATTTTCATAATAATAAAAACAGGAAGAAAACAGAAATTAAATTACACGGACTGAAAAAACAAATTAAAAAAATATTTAACTTAAAAATGGTAAAAAAAAGAAGGTAATATTTATAAATGGCTTTAACGGTTAAAGAATATATCGATTAAAGTCGACCTTGAAACGTGTGAATAACCCACCAATTGTTGGTAAACGAATTCCAGCAGCAGCACCTACTTTTTGCAGAAGACAGAAGTTCTTCAACAAATGTTAAAATCTTACAGGAACATATACTGTTGCAAAATCCTTTTTACTGCCATGTTAACGGTTTTAAGTATTTTACTATTGTTTCAAAATCTCAAACCTCTCATTGGTTTGATTAACACAACGGTAACGTTCTTATTAAACAGAAAATTACTACACATTTTCACGTTCATTTTTAACACTTTTATATCCATTTAATATTAAGTACAAAAATAAAATAATTAAAAATATTTATTTTTTACAAAAAAAATATAAAATAATATCAAATAAATGTAAAAAATTTATGTGTCAAAGTATATTTTTTTAGCAAATATTTTTGTTTTTTCTAAATTTTGCTTAAAGCATATTTAATCTTTTGCTTGAAACATGCAAAGTATGCAGAGAAAACGCATTGAGAGTTTGGTGATGTGCATTTATAAGTAGTTTTAATTTTTAATTAGAGAAAATAATATTTTTAATGAATTTAAATACTTCTTCCATCGGTTGTATCGACGACATCGATTATATCGATATGAAATAAATTTGCAGGTTAGCCTCTGAAGAAAGGTTAGCATCCCAATGCCGTAAAGTTGAAAGGTGAAGACAAAGTTGTTGAGTGTTATTACATGCAGGGGTTGATCGTTCTTTTCAATGCAAACAAAGAAAGAAGGATAGGAAGGAGATGCTTCTGCGCTGCTACAAAATGTAATTGGGAGTTCCTTCGGTGCTCTTACAGAATCTAATTGGGCGTTCAATCGGTGCTGCCACAAAATCCGTAATTGGGCGTTCTTGCGGTGCTTCTTGAATTCACGTGGATGCAATGCATGTTGTGTGGCATTATTTTAGATGAGAGTCAAACTGCAACTGTACCACAATATCGCCTCGTCACTCAGCCCAATGTCGATCACCCACTCTTCATTCTTGCTGATTTCACCCTCACATCCTCCTCCACCTCTCCAACTTCAAAATGCTAAGATGAGTACTGTCCACCGTTTTTCCCATGCGCTGCGTCGCAGCCAAGCAAGTCACGAAAACGGCGTTATGTTTCTTATTCGCCGGAAACCTGAAAATTATTACGGTTTCGAGATCGTGGAGTCTCTCACCGGCGATCACGAGGAGGTCATCGGCGATCACGTGTTTGAGGATGCCGGAAATCCACCTCGCTGGATCGATTTTACGAGAGGCGCGGAGGAAGATCACGGGATATGCGACAAAGGAAGTGGATATGAAATGCTGCTTTCTGTGATTCGCCGTTGTTTGAATCTGGAGTTGGAATCTTCGGGATTTGACGACCATAGTTAGAATTGTGGTTTGACTATAATCTTAAGTAATGCCAGATGGCATCTTTTGATTGGAGAAGGTATCAAAAGGAGCACCCATGAAGTCCAATGTAATTTGTTATCAAGATCTTTAATTCTTAGCAATTGAATTATTTTAATCGTATGGTACGAAATAAAGGAGTGATTAATTATGAATTTAGACACAATCAAATCAGCAAAATTGAAATTCGCTAACATAAACCTTACGTACTGAAAATTTTGGAACGTTATAATTAAATGGAAGGATGGCAAAACGATACTCAGGAAGAATGTGCAAGTTGTGCATGGTATGCATTGTGTTCACACGAATAGTAAGCAGGTTTAAAAAAATACGAACAGTCTTTACACGACTTCATCAAAAGAAGTTGTGTATTCCTTATATGAGAATCTAGCATATCTAAAAAGTTGAAATCTTCATGTTCTTCGCGACTTTAAGGATGAAGTCGTCTATTTCCACACTCAATCTTGAAGTAGTATACTCCCACATGATTCAACTTAACCTAATTGGTTATCAATTCTCATTATCGATTTACAGTTTTTAGAGTGTTTGTTTTGCTCAGATTCATTGCGTGGATGGATTTACCAAAACAGATTTGCAAGATTAGGGTGTGTTCACTTTTAACGGTTTGTGAGTGAGTAAAGGAGAGGAATTGCGAGATGCTATCTCACCAAAACGAAGAGATTTGTGAGGATAGAATAATTTTTTTATCGTAATATTCCTGATATGTTTAGATGTAATGAATTTCAACTATTTCTGTAATGAGTTACTTTCATCCTGTAATTTGTTGACCCTCTCACACTTCTATATGTACATGTTATATCATATAATAATATGTATTTGTATAATAATGAGATTATATTAATATTAATAGTTAATAATAATATTAAATAATATATATTTTTTTAATTACAAAATAAAACAATAAATCTTATATTTTAACTTTTTTTTAATATTTATGAAAAATTTATCCAAAGAATTTATAAATTTTATATTTCTCCATTTTATTATAATCTTCGCTTCACTATTTTAATTATTTATTAATTTTTTTATTCTACTATTCCAAATAATTTTTATCAAAAAATATTATTTTATATTAATATTATCATCAAGGACAATTTGATAATCTTCGTTATATATCTATTAAAATATTTTTAAAATTTTTTAAATCAATTAAATCATACATAAACTTTACTTCTAAATTAACTCTCGATCATTTCTAAATACTTAAAACAAATAACACAATTTATTCTCAGTATCTTTTCACTCCCTCTTCCTCATATTATCTCTTTGAAGTGAACACATCATTCATAATTAATTATAACGCGTTTAGATATGTTAAATATGAAGTTGTCTAAACAATATATAACTTCTTCATATGCAATCGTGTGAGACTACACAACCTGTCTATTTTTGTAATTTTTTAAAATATGCTTATTCTCGTAAAAAGTCTCAGTAAAGAGTAACCTAAAAAACTCTCTTAATTCACATTTGCTAATGAGATCATTAGATATATCACATATGGTGTATCACGATGTATTGTTTGTAAGTAAGTATTATTACACGTGGCTTTATGTGGGCCTTCTTGACATTATTTTATTAGGTGAAAACAAATATTTTGTGTCTTTTTTTTTTCTGTATGAGAATGAGTACATTTAATAAAAGTGATAAGTGAAATTTATAAAGTTTAAATTACTGGTTGAAAAGCAAGGTGACATATATCACTCAATGTATTGAGAAGTGATGATAATAGAAAGTATACCTTCAAGGAGTTCGAAGAATTCTATAAGAGGGTATCGAACATGAATTCACAACATCATACATTTCACAACAAATGGTTTTACATCGTGAAGATAGTTCCATCCCTTGTTATGTCTAAATCAAATAATATTATTATATTTACCCCAAAGAAACACAGAAGATACACTTTTTGATGTAAGTTATCACACACACACACACAAAAAAATATATATTTATCTTAATAGAAACGAGACAGATTAACACATTATTAACAATTAAACTAATAGCACAATGGCCAAATACACAACAAATTGGCTAAAATGTTCTAAATTTTGAAACAATCCTTGGATCACTCCCCCAAGTCCAAATGCAAGATCAATGGATTAAAGCTACCTTTAATGAGATTATTATTATTAAAAAAAATCACTGAGGATTTTCAATAAAGAACGACCTCTGATGGGACTGAACAAAAGTCTATTATTACATTTTACATGCAAAAAGAATAAAATGAATGTAGAGTTCTGAAACCTGACCTTACATACATTATTACATTTACATGCAAAGAATAATCTCCCACCCCTCTCAACAATATCAGGGAAATTTGGGAATATATATTTATAGCTAAAGCTAAATAAATTATATGTAGAAGTAATTAGATGGATCGGATGCATTTGCCGTGTCTTTACAAAGAATAGACCTAGCTTCAATCACTGAGCGAGGAGGCTCAATATCTTTGTCTTGCAACGCATTTCCTCGTAATCGTTGCATTTGAGAAGCAAAAGTATCATCCAATATCTACGAAGTGAAACAGTCCACGTCATACAATATACAACATACAATATTGCAATCGACACCATAAAAGACTATGCACATAATCTAATATTATTGACTTACCCCAAGTGCGTAGGACGAGCCGTTGTACCATATCCTGTTTTCTTTCCTTCCTTCCAGAAATTTCAAAATAATCTAGCACAAAAATGAATCAAAATAAATGAGATCCATGAAAATTCCGAACCAACAATGTAAAAAGAGATATACGAGTTTTAGTTGGATACCTCTCCCATCCTATCCCATAATCCACGACATACTGCTATAAAAATCTGGCTGGTAAAGACGTCATGCACGTTGGAGATGAAATCAATGAGTTGTGAGTTCAGCAACTGCATTCTTTCACGGACTTCTGCTTCTCCATCAGTTTCTGTTGTTTCCTCAAGAATCTTTTTCAGCCTTGTGTTTCGATTAGCTTGCATCTGAACAATTCAATTGCATCAAATGTAAATAAACATTAGAGGTTTCCTTTACAATAATTTTAAAATTTAGATTAAAGGAGTCTGAATGATTTTACATTGTTGACAACATTCCCTATTATTGCTTGCAAATAANGTAGGACGAGCCGTTGTACCATATCCTGTTTTCTTTCCTTCCTTCCAGAAATTTCAAAATAATCTAGCACAAAAATGAATCAAAATAAATGAGATCCATGAAAATTCCGAACCAACAATGTAAAAAGAGATATACGAGTTTTAGTTGGATACCTCTCCCATCCTATCCCATAATCCACGACATACTGCTATAAAAATCTGGCTGGTAAAGACGTCATGCACGTTGGAGATGAAATCAATGAGTTGTGAGTTCAGCAACTGCATTCTTTCACGGACTTCTGCTTCTCCATCAGTTTCTGTTGTTTCCTCAAGAATCTTTTTCAGCCTTGTGTTTCGATTAGCTTGCATCTGAACAATTCAATTGCATCAAATGTAAATAAACATTAGAGGTTTCCTTTACAATAATTTTAAAATTTAGATTAAAGGAGTCTGAATGATTTTACATTGTTGACAACATTCCCTATTATTGCTTGCAAATAAGTTTTGTATTTGGTTCTCAATAGAACAGTTATTCCATTCATTTGCTCCCCAAACAGTGTCTTCTTATCACCCATGACAGGTAGACAGGAGGCCCATGAATTTAGGATGTCTTCCACTCTACAATGTAGGACATCAAGAATCCTCTTGAGGGTATTCAAGAATATTCCTAACTGTGGATAAAGCAAAATGTAAGAAAATATTTCAATATATAAACACATTATAGATAGACATCAGTAGACATCAGTCCTGCATGCTTTCTATTATGCCACAAAAGTTTGTGTGAGCTTAAAATTTTGAGTATTTAATCTGAGTGGGTTTTGGTATCTGGACAAAAGCAAGAATTCAGAAAACTTACTTGATTAGGAAGCAAATGAACACTAGCTGATTGTCTTCTAGCTATCTTTTGAACTTGCAAGTGAAGTCTCTTTGGTATGCTATCCTTTAAAGGAGTTAAGGTATCGCTGTATTGTTTCTCGAGGGATTTCACAATTGCCCTTTCAATGTTTGCAACAGCCTTACAGAGAGAGCAAGACCACAAACTCAAGGATGTTAGGGATCTACTTGTATAGCATGAGAGCAGAGAGGAGACACTAGAAAAAAGATATCTTGAATGCTTATGGGTTAAAATAGAATATGTCTAGTTTAGAACTTACATTTTCCAATAAAGTGAGATATTGAGGCCATCTATTGATTACTACTCATACTGGGTAAGGTTGTCTTTGATTTTCATCATACATTTCCTCAGCAAATGGGGAGGTGGAGTGATTTGTGTCTCCAGCCCATGGCACCTGTATCATATGTTTGTATTGGGGAGGTCAAACTCATTTGTAGTACAAGTATTTTGGTACATAAAACAACTGAAATGACAACTACCTTTTCTGCTTTACATAAATTAGTAAACTAAGTTGCATATCCTGTATCCACACCATGATATAGTTGTGGAACAAATTTCTGGAGTCTACTCCTCCCTGTCGGACTAAAAAGTGAGAGAATTGCATGTCAGAAAGTATATTTAACTTTGGGAATCTATAGTATTTGTATTTGCATGTTACAAACCTTATATTCCATGACTCAAAATCCCGTTCAAAATCCGCAGCCGCAACTAGAAGCTCATTTACATGTGCCCTGTGGACTCGATGTGGCAACGCTGAAAGGAAAGCTCTCAGCCTTTTACACAACTCTGTGCTGTAAACTGCCGCTGTTATGTTTGTGAGATCAATTGAACTGAAAATGAAAAATAGATCTCAGACAATCTGCGAACCAAAATTAAAATGATTCGGACAAAATAGACGTGGTAACAGGCGTAATGCTCTCGTATCCAGTAGGATAATAGATAAATATAATCCCTCGTTGTAATTTATGCACTATGGAATTAAAAAGCCACTTGTTAGTCAGTTAACAGTATGAAAGGAGGCTGTTCCTGCGAAATACCTGAAATATATGCTGACCATGGATCGTATGCTGATTGTGGATCTTTATGTCTGCCTGAAATTTCATTTCTTATAGAAACACAAAGATTCTTCATCTTCAAGTAGGCCGTTGAGATGGTAATGGTATCCATTGGTAACATTCAGAGGTGCTTGACACAAATTCATCAGTCTCCATCATGTGTTTTCTACACCTTTTTTTTGCTGCAGTCTGTTGACAGTAAACACTTCATTTAGACTCAAACAAGGGAAAAAAGTTTTAGCATTCAAGATTGAAATTATGTTGAACAGGAGCACCATATGTCAGTTAATGGTGCAAAATTTAATTACCTGAAGATAGTTTCTTAGAATAGGTTGAGCATCTAGAGATAGTATATCATGAAGACTAGTGTAAACTTGAACGGACAGGATCCAAGGCTGGTGCGCAGACTCAATTGATGGACCAAATGATCTGTTAAGCTGATGGCGAGTTTTCATCTAGCGATTTGTAATTCTCAAAAACAGTTGCTAGAAGACTTTCAATTTGAGTTTCACAGTCGGAAAGCATACTCTCTGAGAAATAAATAGAAAAATTGTTACACCATTATCCATTTCCAAATCATGAATTGCAAATTTGGTAGACAGAAAAAGCATTAGTTATAAAAATAACAGAATTTCTCAGTAAAGAAATACAAGCAATTATCATTATACTTTTACGCATGTTTTCTGTTCAAATTTTTATAAGTGAAAATTGTATCATTATGTCTACTCTCAAGACTGGAACGTAGCTAAATTAAGGATCTGGAATAAGTAATTGTAAATTTTAGACTAAGCAATTACAACTTGTGGAATTATAAATGTAGGAGCTCTCGTTAACCACCATCAAAGATGAAGAATAAGTTATCAGAGTGAGTAAGATTGAAGACTACGGATAGAACATTAGCATGGATAGAGATTTATCCAAATATTGATGTGGAACAAAACTTAGTCTGATGATAGAGAGACAATAATTAAGACAGAGTACATGATTGGAAGTATATATGTGAAAGAGCAATATGTGACTTACCTCCTGCCTGGTCCAAAACTCCTCTCACTTCTGCCTTTATTAGGGGTTCAAGCAATTCTCTCACAAGCTCTAGGCAGTCCTTGGTTGGAGTTGCCACATTCATCACATGTAATAGATATCTACAAGAAGACCACCGCAGTTAAGTGAAGAAAAATGAATTAAAAAAATAAACAAATCATATAGCAGAGTAAAGAATATAAAAAACCATTTCATTCCACTCTTTTAGGGCACCCAAATGAAATTAAATACCTCAGCTTGGCATATGAATTAGAAACTCCATAATAGTCTGCAAATGCATCTAACAACCATTTCCAGTGTCCATTTATCGCAAGTTCGGGAGTGAAAATGTGCGCACTCATGGCCCCTCCAATAATAAATCATAAGCGCAGTTCAACAACAGCCGCACTCTGCAGAAATGTAGAAACTGAGCAAATGAAACACAAATCTATGCTCAGAACGGCATAGCCAGAAATGATACCTTGGTGTTTACTGGTCAAGTCTAAGATAAATAATAATTTAGTCATGATGAGCCTTTCTTTAAATAAATTAAAAAATAAATACTTGGTACATATAAATTATAAAGGTTTCTCTTTTAATACCAACAGATGATAAATTTGATTAAAACACAGTTGATAAGTTTGATCCTCGTCATAATTAATCCAAGATAGAATAGTTATTAAAAATATTTCATCTACTGCTTGATAAAACTGTTACTCTTTGCCTTTATCCACAGATGTTAACTCGGAGGATCATCCTACATCAACTAACTGAAAAATTTCTACTGAAAAAAACAATATTTATGAAAACTAATTTTTGGTAGACACAGAACTTATATGAGTGTTCTCCTTGCTCGTCATTGTGCTGCCGATAGACAGCTGGATCTTGCCAACACATTCACGTTCATCGTGATATACTGGCCACCACCTAATTCGGTCACTCTGCTCATTCAAGATAATTCATTATGTGAATGTGGAAGGTGCAGGGTCGAGGAGTAATATTTATGGACTATGAAAGGGTAGAATTCATACAGGATTATCACTGAGGGATGAAATTGGAATTCTTGCTTCACCATGGACTGCCTTTTTGGAATCTTGGACTTCTACAATTAAAGCATCCCCTTGGCTCAATGGGAAACTGAAATTACAAATCAGTGCAAGATTTTTATGATTATATTTCAACAATGGAAGAAATCCAAGATGTGTGATTGTAACTTTTAGTTTCTCAAAGAATACACATGTAAATTGCCATCTTAAAAAGCAGCTGTGTACCAGCAGATATTATTTTCAACACTTAAGATGCGTTTTTCATCAATTGTCTGCAACTATATCCTGCTAAAATGCATTTGGAAAACCTTCACTGACTTTAATGTTTCACTATTTTTAAGAGACTGACAGCAGATCAATCAGAAGACATCTCCCAGTTGAAACATAAAATAAAAATAAAAAACTTACAAGTCATTGTAATCTCCCACTTCCAGGGCGCAAAAGAATTGCCAGAAGATGGACTCTGATTCATTTTCTTCCGTTGTACTCTTAAGTTGGATTAAACAATGTAGTGGCTCTACAAGATAAAGCAGACATCTTTTATTCATTCATTGTGTACATCACAGGATTGGTGTTAATGAAAAGAAATCTATAATGTTTCAGTGAGATATGTACCCATCCCATATAAAGGTTAAAAGATTTCTAGAACTATAAAATGAACTAACCTTCTGATGCCAGTGAGAAGGTGGCCGACTTCATAGAATTTATGCCAGTTTTCACAAGTGATGAAACATGCCGTACATATTCCACCCCAGCCTGCATGTAGTGTGATCCCCTCTGTGACTTTGTGATCTTAAGTTTTTGTCTAGGTATAATGCGGAGTTTCTTCACTGCAGTTTTCACATAGGATGTCATATTACGATATTCTCAAGTCGTTTGAAGGAGATCCAATGTTAATAAACATGATTACAAAAAAGTAAGTATTAAAATGTCTAAAAAAACGTCATTTCATACAATACTTACAATTATAGTCCTACTTACATTCATAGTATTTGAAGGATAAAAATCTGTCGAGATTGTAAGATTACCTTCCACCCTGATTTTCCCTAAAACTTTCTTAATCTTCAGGGGAACTATTTGTTCTGAGTTTCTTGTATTTTTCCCTTCAGTTAGCTTTACCCTCGAGGTTGTACAAAAACTCGTGCAATCTAAGGAAATCGTGAACTTTAATAAATGAAGGAAAGCAATAAATGAAAAAAGAAGTGCGCTTGTAAAACAAAATGGAACCCACCCAAAGGCACCTCGGAGAGCCAGACACTCGTCTTTTAAAAACTCTGGAGCCTCAGTGCATCCTTTTGCCCATGCTTGTAGACATAAGCGTATGCAGGCGTCATAAGTGATAAGGGTTTGCCAGGCATATTGACTATTGCCAGCCTGAGATAACATTCCATAAAGAAAGTGGGATTAAATGTGAATTTTCAAAATGGCAATGTAGAAACTATATTATTAAATTTAACTATGTCAGCAAAGTATAATGTTGATTCAAAGTAAAAGATGGGGCACTGTTGCTGTAATATTGTAACGAGGGTCTGTCTTTCTATGTCATCTGTTAAGTATTGTCAGTCTGCACGAGTTTAATATAGAAATACCACGACAACAGGTTAGAGGAGGAGAATTCCGAACAGGAAAAAGAGAGAAGAGAAAACAGAGATCGTTTGCAGTGAGTGAAGGCAGAAAATAACAACACCTTTCCCAGGCTCATGCCGTTTTTGTAACAGTGTTGGGTTTTTGTTCAATTGAACTCTCACTTTTTGAGCCATCATAATCCACAGAGTCTCTTGATGGCCACGATGCACGGTCAGTTGGTTCATTCTTGACCGAGCTTTCTGAATCCCTCTCAATTGAAAAATCAGCATCAATGATGGGAGGAGCACTTGGAGTACCCAATCCGACGGCGTCATCAGGACGTTTCACATTGCGAAACGGTGAAATTTCTTTCGAGACCGAACAGCGCCACCAACTGGAGTGAGTTTTCCTTGAACACATTATTGAAACCGACTTCTCCATCTGTGAATCTTCTGACACTGCATGGAACCTGAATGGTTAGGTTTTGATTGGCTAAACCGGTCTTGAGAATTCCACAGCGCCCCTTGCCCCTTGGGGTTTAGATCCAAACAATTGTTCCTCGTCATAGTTGGTGGAATTGGTGAGTCAGAGTAATCAAGGTTGCTGGGAGCAGAGAGTTCTTCGTCGGAGAAGGCATCCTCCATGCAGACGTCGCTGTCGTCGTCGTCGACATGGTGATCGCCGTAGCCAAATGCAAGGTTGCGCGGCTGTAACAAAGCTGAGTGGAATTTCAATGGAGGCAGAACAGGGGAATTGAGACTGTTGGCGGAATTCAAAATAGGAGATCTCGGGAATCGATCGCTGGTACTGATTTTCTCGGCCAGAGGAGAGCGTATGAGAGAAGGAGGAGGATCTTCAACCTCAAGCTTTGGTTTGGATCCCTGTAGGAAACATTAAAATTGGAAAAAGGATCATGGAATCCCTAAAAAGAGTGACCAAAAAAGAAAGTGAAATAGTTGGAATCGCACAGAAGAAGAAAGAAGGAGAGTTACCTGATTGATCCATTGGATTGCGCTCTCGTCCAGACCTTCGGCTAAACATGGCGAAGTAGAGAGAGAAAGAAAGAATGAATGAAAAGGAAACAGAGGAATAAGCGAAAAGCGAAAGGAGCGTGATTTAGATGACAGTATGCCAAGGAACCAGAGTGTAGTGTAGAACTAAAACAGGGGAACTCTCGTCACTGCCAACGGCTACTTTGAATTTCAAACCTTTATTCCGTCATAGATCGTTCTTTATATTTTGTATAAAAATTATAGCACGTTTCCCTAAATAAACGAATGATTTCATACTAAAAATACCAATATTTTTTTAATTAATTCCAATATGTTTTTTAAATAATAAAAAGTCCTTAATTAGTAAAAACGAATGATAGCGCCAGTTTTCTTAAGTTGTTAATTGACTCAGTAAAATTTACTGCCAATATAAAGTTCAAATAAAAAATTTTCTGGTTATTCAAGAACTTTTCAAACTACTTTATTATTAAGCGTTTATCTACCATTTACTAAATTCACTTAAACCAATTATTCCTTTATTTATATATATATATATATATGAGTATATATATATAATATAATATATATATATATATTATAATATATATATATATATATATATATATATACTTTTTTTTTCTTAGAAGAATTTTTGTAAGGAAGCATAAATTGTTATACAATATTTAACTTTGACTTAAATTAGTGTTATTACAATCGGTCATTTTGTCTAATTTTTTTTTAAATGAATTGGTTCACTAATTCATTTAATTACAACTTTTAAATAAAAAAATTACATTTTTTTATAATTTAAATTTAAATAATTTTACAATGTTAAAATCAAAAAATTAACATACAACTCAAAATGTAATTAAAAAACAAATCCAAAAATCGAATAAATAAGTTTATAATATTAATAACTTTTGTGTCGTTTATTCATTTATCATATTAGAGTTTTCAATAGATAAATGTATGACACTTTGCTTTGTTGAAACATTTTTTTTTATTCTCATGTTAACTAATAATAAATAATTAAATTAAACTTTGTGAGTTAGTGAGCAAACGACTCACTAAGTGAGTCGGGTTAAAAATTGACACATATAAAAAAATTTCATTTTTTTCAAATACAATCAAACTCAAACTTTTAATGAGTTAGGTTAATATGCAAATTCTAATATATTTTGACAATACTAACATAAATGCATGAAAATAAAGTTTGGAAGTTTTGAATGAAAAAAATATGCAAATTCTTTTTCTAATTTAATATTCGATATAATTTGTTTAAATGTAATATCTAGCCAAAATATACATTGATAAAATATAAACAAAAGTCTTATAATACACATAAAATACATTTATGGATAAGAAATTTTTTAGAATAATATTAAAAATAAATTCATGAGAGACTTATGTACGTTGACTCTATCTATATATACATATATATTTATTTTCAAGTTGGTGTTCTTCGAATTTGATAGAAAAATAAAAGATATGTAATTTTATCAAACTCGAGTTATTTCAACAAGTTTGATAATAAATTTGATGAACTGAAATTAGTTTTACCAAATATTATAAATTTGTAAAACGATTACAAAATACATAATTTATCAGAGTTAAGGCATAATTAATTCTACTAGTTAAGATAAGACATATTTAGCTATATAAAATGCAATAAATATTTTTTTTCTATTCGAATTATATAATGTGCTTTTTGAAGTCAATATTATAAGGATGTACAATCTCTTTTCAAATACATATTGTGAGAATTATCAGGGAAGTTTAATGTTACGTGTCTAATTTTGAGGATTAAATTTATATATTTTCTTAGAGAGGAAAAAGTCAAATAGGTAAACACATGTGTAATAAAACAAATTGTCTGCTTATGTAATACACCAATAACAAGACTCGGTTCTAAAGTTTATAACTATATTTTTTAGGGTTAAATATGTTTTTAGTCCCTAAACTATTGGTCGTTTCTGGTTTTCATCCCTCTTTCAAAATAAGATAAAATTTGGTCCTCATTCTTTTCGAAACGTTCGTTTTAGTCCTCGGAATTTTGGTTTTAGTCCTCGTTTGTTGCTAAATGAGGACCAAATTTTTAAACAGTGTTTAGTTTTCGAGGACTAAAACGAACGTTTCGAAAAGAATGAGGACCAAATTGTATCTTACTTTGAAACAGAAACGGTCAATAGTTTAGGGACTAAAAACATATTTAACCCCATTTTTTAATACTTTAAAATTTAAAGAAAAAAACAAATAACGATTTAAAAATTAAATTTAAAGTTTATTCGTATAAAAAAATCATCCCTTGATTGTTACCTTCCAAAATGGTTCTGTAAACTCAATCTAGTTAAACATTAGTTAGTAATATGCTAATTTCTCTTAAACTATAATTATTTATATATAAGTAATTTTCAAAGTATATTAAAAACTTTTCATCTTCGTAAGGAAAAGTTTATCAATGTTTAATATGTCAACAAATTCAAATAATGAGTTAATATTCGAGTTAATTAGGATTAAAAAATTATTATTTTTTAAATATAAGTTAAACTAAATTTAACCCATTTATGAGTTAAATATTATATTATTTTTTTGTATAATAATATTTGATTAAATATTTAAGTATTTGAATTAATTATTTTTTAATTCAAGTGATAACAAACCAATTCATACAGATCCATTATCATGACTATATATTAAATTTTGTACCACAATATCATAATTTGCATCCGTTTTAACTGATATATTTCAATTAAATTTTTTACTTTCCTATTTTCTTACTGACCTGAATACCAAGTGAACTTCCATTTAGTTCATGCTCATATATTAAATTTTATCCTGATTGTTAAAAATAAAAAATTCTTCCTCATTAATTATTCGATGGGATATGTATAAATTTCAATAACATCATAATTTAAAAACATTTTAGTTCAAATTAATCGATAGTATTATATATTTTGATTTAAATATATACTATAATTAAAAGTATAAACACTTCTTTTATCGTGCTAAAAAAATATTTCGACATTTTAATACTTATCAAATTTGATTAATAATAATATGAACAATTTATAAAATTTAATTGAAAAATATTATATTCACAAAGCAACAAACAATTTCTGTGAGATAAATGCCGTGTATAAAAAAATCACGCCATCTCAAGCGACGCTTGAAGTCTGTAAAAGGACTCTGTAAGGTGGTTCTTGATATACCTTAAATACCTTTTTTATTTTAATTTATGCAGAAGAAATCTGCTAAAACTGATAATAATAATAATACTGAGAAAATGACATAAATTAATTTTTAAATGTGTTTTGATCTAAACAGTAAACATTGTTGTATTTTCTTGTTACCAGAGATAATGAAAAAAATAAAAATAATCACTGTCGTTTTGTCTTTAGACTACTGCTTAAATGGTTGAAGCATTCAAACGTATTGCAGAATTGGCAACCTATTCATTATCATTTCAGGGTTGTAAGATGCCAAAATGACTGGGTCAACCCTTAGGAATTTTGATGTATGAAAGTTCAAAGAGGTATCTAACCACCTACCCCAACACATAGAGGTATTCATTCACCAACCAAGCACTGGCCTTTACTTACTTAAAGCTTTGAAATTAAGATTCCTGTACAACTTTTGATCTCTGGCAGTGCTAGTTTCAGCAATTTGTAAACATGGCAAGCTTTATCCAACAAAAGGGTAGTATTGAAAGTGAGTTGAGTATGATCAACATAGACCCTCTTAACTGGGGTGAGGCAGCAGAATCACTTAAGGGTAGCCACTTGGAGGAGGTGAAAAGGATGGTGGGGGAGTACCGGAAGGCAGTGATCCATCTGGGTGGAGAGGAGAAACTTACAGTGTCAATGGTGGCTGCTGTTGCTAACCATTACTTACAGGCTAAGGTTGACCTCTCAGAGTCTGCAAGAGAAGGCGTTGAAGCCAGCTGCAAATGGGTCATGGATAACATCGACAAAGGCACTCCCATTTATGGTGTTACCACTGGTTTTGGTGCTTCCTCCAACAGGCAAACTCAAGAAGGCCTTGCTCTTCAGAAGGAAATGGTTAGGTGAGGATCATCTCTGCTTTCCTTGATTGATAATGTATATGTGAATATCCAACTTCATAGTCAAAACACTAATTGTTCTGAGTTTATCACTTTCAGCTAATGAAAAATTCATTTCATGTATAGACAAAATTGCATTAGAATTATATATAATTCTTCTTTTGGTTGATGTACTTGAGTTCTCGTATTGATTAAAGATAAGGACAATTTATAATATATAAGTAGGTGCAAACCTCATCTTAAAAAGCCAGTTTTGTAAGGTTAAGTTAGGTTTAAAGTTCACTTCTTAACATGGTATCAGAACCAGACTAGCGCCATCCTAGTGAGATTTATATGGATATATTGTTCCATCCACTATCGGGTCAATGTCGTTAAATCCATTAATGTCTAGTGTCACGTTTGATATATATATCTCGGCGTCAGGAAGGTATTGAAAGTCTCAATATATGGATGCTAATCTCACTTTACAAGCTGGTTTTATGGGATTGAGTTAGGCTTAAAATCGAATTCTTTTAATTAGGTTTAAAGTCCACCTCTTAACGGCTTATCCCTTTTCCTTTCCAGGTTTTTAAATTGCGCAATATTTGGCTACAAAACAGAGTTGTCTCATATACTGCCGAAATCAGCAACCAGAGCAGCAATGCTTGTGAGGGTTAATACCCTTCTTCAAGGGTATTCAGGAATTAGATTTGAAATCTTAGAAGCTATCACCAAACTCCTCAACAACAATGTCACCCCAGTCTTGCCGTTACGTGGTACACTTACTGCGTCTGGTGATCTAATTCCTCTGTCATACATTGTTGCATTGCTAACGGGTAGGCGAAACAGTAAAGCTGTTGGACCCTCTGGAGAGTCCCTCAATGCTAAGGAAGCTTTCCATTTAGCAGGTCTACAAGGTGGGTTCTTTGAGTTGAAGCCCAAAGAAGGTCTTGCTCTTGTAAATGGTACAGCCGTTGGGTCTGGCGTAGCTTCTATGGTGCTTTTTGAGGCAAACGTATTAGCTTTATTGGCGGAAGTTCTATCAGCAGTTTTTGCTGAAGTCATGCAGGGAAAGCCAGAATTTACACATCACCTTATACATAAGCTGAAGTACCACCCAGGTCAGATTGAAGCTGCCGCTATTATGGAACACATTCTAGATGGAAGCTCTTATGTCAAGAATGCTAAACTGCAACAGCCAGATCCATTGCAGAAGCCTAAAAAAGATCGTTATGCTCTTGTAACTTCTCCTCAATGGCTTGGTCCACAGATTGAAATCATCCGATTTTCGACCAAATCAATCGAAAGGGAAATAAACTCAGTAAATGACAATCCCTTGATTGATGTCACAAGGGATAAAGCTCTGAATGGTGGTAATTTCCAAGGCACCCCAATTGGAGTTTCAATGGATAATGCACGTTTAGCTGTTGCTTCAATTGGCAAACTCATCTTTGCGCAATTCACCGAACTAGACAATGATTTGTATAGTAATGGGCTACCATCAAACCTGTCCGTTGGTAGAAATCCAAGTCTGGATTATGGTTTTAAGGCATCTGAAGTTGCCATGGCTGCTTATTGTTCTGAACTTCAATATCTAGCAAATCCGGTAACTAGCCATGTGCAAAGTGCTGAGCAGCACAACCAAGATGTGAACTCTTTGGGCTTAATTTCGGCTCAGAAAACTGTCGAAGCCATAGAGATATTAAAGCTTATGTCTTCCACTTATCTGGTTGCACTCTGCCAAGCTATTGACTTGAGGCATTTGGAGGAAATTTTCAAGAACACTGTCAAGAATACTGTAAGCAGAGTTGCACTGAAAACATTAGTTACTGAAGACAAAGAAGAAATTAACCCATTTCGACTCTCTGAGGAAGAGTTGCTTAAAGTGGTCGATAGAGAATATGTACTTTCATACATTGATGATCCCTTAAATGTTCGGTACCCATTGATGGCAAAACTAAAGCAGGTACTTTATGAGCAAGCACACAGCAGTGTCATTAATGACAAGAATGTGAGTTTGTTGACTTTTGAGAAGATTGGAGCTTTTGAGGATGAATTGAAGTCTCTCTTGCCAAAGGAAATTGAAAGTGCAAGGGTGGCTTATGAGAATGGCAATCCAGCAATTCCAAACAGAATCAAGGAGTGCAGGTCATATCCACTGTACAAATTTGTGAGGGAGGAGTTGGAGATAGGGTTGCTCACAGGTGAAAAAGCTCTGTCACCAGATGAAGAATTTGAAAAAGTATATACAGCCATGTGTCAAGCAAAGATAATTGACCCAATTCTGGAATGTCTAGGAGATTGGAACGGGGTTCCCATCCCAATATAATGTTCCACAATAACTATTGTCATATGATTTACTCTTTTATTTTGAATAACTATGAGAAATTAATGTGTATTTCTCGCTTATCTATACGATTAAATGAAAAATAAATGTCATTAATTTTAATCGTATATGTATAGATATGTATAGATAACTAACGAAAACTATGGTTGATGAGAAATTCACTTTCGCAAACTTGAACTCAAACAATTCGAACTACCAAAAGCAGTAGAAATCTTGAAGAAAGCTAGAAGTATCCATTTAATTTTTCTTAATCAGTATTTGTTTGAATGAATAAGGAATGAGACCGTCCGTGCAACCATTGTATAAATGTTGATAAAAAAGAGAGGGAAAGGTTGATCTAGCCAGAGAAGAGATATCAGAAGCTGTAAAATGATTCTAATTGTTTTACATGTCATTTCTTAGAGTGGCACACCAAGGAACAAAATGTCCAGATGATGATGATGATACAGTACCAAAGAGCAAAGAGAGGATATAGAAAAGTGATTGAGTTTTGGTAACTGCGTACAACAACAACCGAGAGAGTAAAGAATATGTAACAACATATGATACATTCAGTGGAACTTGAGACTGGTCAGGATGTTGTTGTGAACAGGGTCAGCAAGATGATCTAGGAGGTTCTGGTATGGACCAACACCTGTCACAAGAGCTTGAACAAAGTAACCCAAGATTGCCAACATAGCCAACCTTCCATTCTTGACTTCCTTCAGCTTCAAATCCTTCAACGACTTCTCATCCTTGCCAAAACCAAGAGGGTTAAACAAAGGTCCTCCGGGGTATGCTGGATCACCGGAACCTCCAAGACCTTTTTCTAGTCCTAAGAAGTATTGTTTCCCCATAGACCCTGGTTTCGCCCAGTCTTGGAATCTTCTGTGCTCTGCAAATCCCATCAGTGCCAACTCAAACACAAAGAGCGTGTACGAGTCTGCCCAGTAGTTGTATGTTCCTGCAGGTGGGATCACACCGGTTCTGAACCATGGCAGTGCTGTCTCCTGAGGGATCAGACCAGCCTTGCCGAGAATTTCAGGTGCTATGGCACCAACTGCACCCAACATTGCATAACGACCATTGATGATCTCACCATACGCTAGCCATTTCGGCTCGATGAACCCTCCTGTTCCTTCAGGGTCTGAAAGTCCAAGAGGGTCAAATCCATAGTCACCAGGAAGGCTACAAACCAAATCATGCCAAACAAAGTCAATATTAATTCCACCACCTTCACATATACTATCTACTATTATTTCACTAAATTGGAGAACTTTATCAATGGTTGTTTGAAAAGTAGGATTTTTTTACCTGCCATCCAAGTAAGAAAGACTTTGCTTTGATGCAAACCATAAAGGTCTGTCTGCTCCTTGCTGAACACGAAAAGGAAGAAACTTTTGTAAGTAGAGATGCAGATGAAGAGAGAGAAGAAGAAAAAAGGAGTGAGAGAGGAAGAAACCTTGACAGGGGGAGTAGAAGCTGCCTTAACAATGAAGGAGGCTTTTCGGGAGAAGGCAAAGGGAGATTGGTGTGATCGTGGTCCGAGAGTCTGTCTGGCAGCCTCCGCTGAGAGGACAAGAGATGAAGATGATAGCAGAGCTTGTGCAGGCATGGTGGTTATACTACTCCTCCTTTGATGCGTTTGCAATTGGTGCAGCAAAAGAGAGTAATAGAAGTGAAGGTTAGGGATGAATGATATGTGTTTGCAACCACTAAAAAGCCAAAGGGGTGGAAGATATGGAGGAAGGTGAGCCACTACTACATTGGCCCGCATGTACGACCAGTATCCAACTCATGGTGGATATTGCATGGCGCAATGCAATGCACTCAAGATGAGATTATGATCTTGTTCTCCAACCAAGTGTGCACACGTAATCTGATGAATCGGATAAGGGTTGGATATTATTTCCTGTTTCCTATTTCCTCTGGATAACGTCTTCCCAAATTTTCAAGGATGAATCTTTTCCTCCATCTGATAATTTTAACATAGGCAACATGTCACAAAAATAAAACACCTAGGTTAGGATGTCTCTGCAACATTAAAATGTCAAAATAATTGTTTCTTTCTTCTTGGGGAATTCAAATTATTTCGAGATATTGTATTTATATAGTATAATAATTTATACAAAATTGTTGCTTCTGCTATCTCGTTTTTCATCTCATCATTCATTCACCTAACCATATGCTTCTCATTCTCTGTTGGTAAAAAAATAAAAATAAAAATCTGTTTTTCTCTTTTCTCCCTTACTATGAAATTAATTACGAATTTTGTTACCTTTTATATGTATGTTCTATTATAGATTTTAAAAAATTAATCAACTCATTTGATACACTAGGACCGAAAACTATGTATCACCAGTAAGGCCGATTTATTTTCAAAATAATAAATATTATTATCATGCTATATATGATGAATTTATATATTTTTATGTTAGCATGTAAGTATGTGACTCAGTGGGTAAATATATAAATTTCAAAAGTTTGAAAATTTGATATATTTAATAGTAAATTTTAAAATCTAAGATCAACTTTCCACCTTCAAGTAAGTAAACAAATCAAGAAAATGAAAGAACAATTAGACCAAATTTTTTAAGGAAAACACATTTTTATCGCAATTTGGTTCGGTTTTCATTTCTTATTAATATAAAAATTGAACCAAATCACTTATTATATTTATTTTTCTTTTGTATTTCTATATAAAATATGATTATCTTAACCAAAATCACGACTCAGTTTGATAGTCATAGTATATAATTTCATTTGTTGGATATTTTTTGGTTGTACTTCGTTTTGTTTTCTGTGACTCGATGGAGTGATTTAACTTCACTGATTATAGTTGATGCAAATGTCGTTTCCAGAAGTTTATCTTGGTTTAATTTAATTAGTCATTATATTCTTTACTGTGTCAAAATAACTTATTAATTATCAAATTACAATTAATGTAATTGCAATCTTACATTAATCTATATAAATTAATAAAGAAAAAAAAGTATAGACTATTCATAAATTAGCTCTAAAATTAGCAATACGAAAGCATTGTTTTTATTTTTTAAAATATTAAATTCTTTTTGTAAATATATAAAAATAAATGACACGTCACACTTCTTACATTATTACACTTCTATTAAATTCTTTTTGTAAATATATAAAAATAAATGACACGTCACACTTCTTACATTATTACACTTCTATTATGTATCGAAAGTTTGTTTTTATCAAAGACTAATTTAATCATTTAAACATTATAAAAAATTAAACACAAATAGATAAAACTAGAAAAACAAAAATCAAGCACATAAGCCAAACTATAAAGACAAAAAGTACAGTTAAGTAACATGTTAATCTTGGTTTGCTAATATTTTTAATTTATGGTTCAAGTTACTAACAAAACTTTACATTTCCTCTTAACAAATTTGTATACTTTTTGTGGGGCATCCATTTTAACTATACACTATAAAACTAGACGTTTTTTCCACAACCAAAAACCCACAGTAGAAGATGATAATCCCGACCAAACAGGGCACAGGACTCAGTTCAATGATTATCCATTTCTAGGCAAAGACTATAAGGAAAGAAAGAAAGACCCCTCTGATCTCCTAAATCAAAATGGACATGCTAGATTTAGTTTTAAAATGCAAGTTACAGCTTAAGTATAAATTTTAATTAGGTTTACAATGTATTGATGTGATTTTTTTGTTAATTCCATACGCCTCCGTTTTAGACAATTGTTTCTAGATATCCTTGTACCGAATTGTAACTTATATAGTATTTTTGACGAAAACGACAAGACTGGAGGGTGATGTGAGTAAACGGGATAAATAGCATAGATTGTACCTTAGCAAGAGATCTCCAAGTGCTTCTTTTTTGAGCTAACTGTACTGTTTAAAATCTAGCATTGAACATGAAAAACTTTAGTGTAATACATCCATGGCAAAACCCATAAAACAATGCAACAATCTCTGATCACTTCCCCTCAAATAACTGGCTAAAATGTTATTTCTTCGTTGCGCTTGCAGCCGTGTACCTTGTGAGAACATAGCAGTCTGGCGGTGTAATGTTTGTATAATAGTTCTGGATTGTTTCTGTAATTTCAAACCCAAATTTCTTATAGAAGTTTATGGCGTCTTCATTGTTTGTCTGCACATGCAAGTACACCTCAGAAATGTTTTGCTTGGAGCAAAGATCAAGAGCATGATTTAACAGCTTTGTTCCTGCATAAACCCCCAGACTCACATTACAAAAACTTGCATAGATTATAAAAGATGATACATGATTATGACTCTTGCAAGAAGCAAATTAAAATGTTCCCAATATGAAGCTTGCACCTTATGACAAAACCATTAATCTGTATTTGTGGTACTGAAACAAGTATCTACACCAAGTAGTCCTTAACAAAAATGATCAATTAAAGTTTAAATCACCAGGGAAAGATATTCAGTTTCTTTCTTACCAATACCAAGTCCACGGTAAGGTGCTAAAACGCCTAATGTCATTATGTAAACCCGAACTTGCCCCCCTCCTTCCTTCTTCTCTAGCCGGCACGCAATTGCTCCAACACATATATCACTATAGTAAGCTGAAAGACAAAGGAAAACAATCAATCTTGGGCAAGTGATAGATACATTCTACATGTCCTTTGTATATCCATCCCTTCTTTGGGTATCACCCATATTATCAAGCACAAACGAAAGCAGAGATATCAAACAAGCTGGTCCGATTAAGGAAATCCTCTATGCTTTAACCCTAAGTTTAAGTACAAAAGCTTTCAGAACTCCAACGGACAAATGTAATATATTATCAGTATTGAAGACGCCTTGTGTGGTATTCCAATTATGATGACTCTGTACATTTTCTTTGGGGTGCGGATAAATTTATCAAAAGCAAAGAGGGAGCACTTATTTTCAGTATAGAAAGCAGAAAAAGGGAAAAAAAAATCAATTTTGAAAGTGCTCTCCAAACCGTCAGCATATCCAATGTTGCCAAAATAAAGATATACTAGCACAGAACATGAAGGGACTTGAAAATCATACATCCTAACATTAATCATAACATCCTACTAAAAATGAAAAATTATACCTACAGATATACATATGCATAGAAAATGACAGATAAAAAAAGTAACCTAAATCACAAAATTTAACTAACTAAAATAGAAAATTCATAATCATGAGGTTACATACAACTCATAATAAGTTACACAAGTAATCCTTAATAGCAAATAATCCATAACAGAGCATGGGCAGAAAAATAGAAGCTTAAAAGATGTGAGGCACACAGCTTGAACCTTTGAGGAAAAAGCTTTGAAGGCAGAAACAGAGATGTGGTCAATTGAGGCAAAACAAGGAAACAAAAGAGACCAGAGATAGAATAGAGAATGAGATTAAGGTTGCTCGAGTGAGAGTACACATGGGAACAGGGAGGCAAGCCTTTGATCTAATTCGCAATTACCAATGTCTACGAAAGGAAAAACCAAGAGGTCCTAAATGTTCATATGTCCAAGTCAAAACTCTTGAAAATGAGCTCCATTTGCCCGTTGTTAGGGTATTTTTGAATCAACAAAGTTAGAAAGGCATGAAGGAAATTGCACAAGAGAGAAAATACGAATTCAGAATGTACAAGAAACTCGAATCAATTAAACAAGTAACAACAGCAGAGCCTTTATCTCATTAGGTGAGACAGCTACCTCAAACAGCATCATTCCGGTAATGTTAAAATGTAAATCAACTGAAAATTGAATTAAACTAATATAAAAAAGTAAAAATCAAACTTTTGCTATTAATTCCAAGAGGCTAAGGGTGGTTTAGTGAATAAACAAGGTTAAAAAAAGTTATTACCCAAAGATTAGTAAGTGTAAGCAATGGTTAATTGCAACACCCAGATTAAAAAAAATCTTCAAAATAGAGAAATGGCAAGTAATGGATTATGAAACCTATCTTACAGTGCAATTAGAATATTTTAGTTTTAACATGAGAAGGAAGCTAAATTGCTAGAGTGAGCAGAAACTCAAGTGCAGTAGTAATAGCTTAAGAAAACCTGAAAGGAAATACACAAGCGAAGACGACATTGTGAAATTCATGGTCCGGTATCAAATAAAAGGAAAAATCTATCAAGTATATATTTTGGCAATTCACTTATTGTTAAATTATCATTCATTCATTTATTCATTCAAACGGGTTCCCCGGAAGGAAGGCTAACATGATAAATATAACCCGGTAGAGTATCCTTTTTAGAAATACACAGGCGAGGAGCAAAGGAAATTAAGAATAAGATAGTGAAATAAATAGCAAAAAACGAATAATGTGAAAAATGCAGGATGAGGTAACATGGAAGTGAGAAAGAAACAGAGAAAAGAACCTAGTTTGGTGAATTCGCCGGAAGCGAGAGCATCGGCATAGTATTTGTCATTGTAACGAACGGGGAAAAGAGCGAGATTGAGCTTTTTGAGCTGCATAAGGTTCTTGTCCCTCACTCCATCAAGTGAGATAGAGACTTCACGCCCAGCTCCCATTCTACAGAAAGGAATACAAAAAATTGTATTTGTTAGCAGAAACAGAGAAGGTGGCGTGGCAGGGAAGGGAATCTGCCCCCCAAAACCAAAATCCAACTCCAATAGAGAGAGAAATTAAAATCAAATGGGAAAACTACTATGTGTTTTACATAGAGATATAGAGTGAGAGAGGGAGAGATATATATATATATATATATATATATAGAGAGAGAGAGAGAGAGAGAGAGAGAG